TTCGTAAACTTCTCAAATCAGTGTCACTGCTAATTTTATGTAGTTTAGGGCGTTTACCGGATAAAGATGGAGCTCTGAAAAAACGATTGGAACTTTTGTTCGTTGAAGATTCAGAGACTAAAGGATCCTCAGTTACTGGCCAATAACTCGTAGTTCGAGCGATATTCTCGGAAACTTTACCTTTACGAGAAGGTAGATGAATATGTTTAAGAAAATAAGATTTTATGGTTGAATTTGAAACACGACGAGGTCTTGGAGAATTTTCTCTTTCAGAATCAGTCAAATTTTCTTTGCTTTTGTGTCTATTTCCTATAGATAAAGAAGATTTTGTTGAAATCTTGTTCGAAGGAGTACAGAGAGAATGAGTTGATATAGGTGATAAAGGGGGGGAACTTGACAGACGACTACTATTGGGCATAAATCTAGATATAAATGATTGGGTTCTAATACGATGTTTTTTTGTATTTTGATCAATGCTATATCCTAAAGACATTTTAGACGGAGATTCATCCAGCATTTCTTTAAATTTAGAGCCTTTACTCGAATTAGATAATGAAGGCGATACTGGTTCATTATTAAAGTGTAAATAGCTATCGCGATTTCGACGATTCAATGAGATACTAAGGTTACTATTCAGAGTATTTGGAGTATTTGGGGGAGAATCAAAATGCGAGAGACCATTTCTAGATGAAGTATCAATAGAAAGATCCATATTCTTGCGATGAAGACGATTATTTGACTGTGGAGATATATGGTTGTGAAAATGAGGTTTGTGCAAGGAACTTTCTGAGAACGTAATTTTTCTTTCTTTGGTATACATTATCGGCGCAGTAGCCGCGGAAGCAGTGGATAAGTCAGAATCATTACTATCATTTCGCTACGTAATAATATGACAAAATGTCATGTTCATAAATAAGTGGATATATATAATCACACATGTCAGGAATAAAAAAGTCTTTTTTTTTTACCGATCGCCAAAGAGAGGCTGAAAAGCTGACATTTAAAGGAGACTGCCCTCCTTCAGATAATATACTGCTGTGCCCACTTAAACGATCCGAACTATCAGCCATCATGTTCAGGTCACTTAATGATTGCTTTGCATCTGAACGTCGCCTGAACGTCCCGAAGCTCCGCATTATCTTTTTCTTAACTATATATAATATAATTAGATTTAATCCATACGGCATATCGATATAGTAATTAAATTAAAAATATTTTACAATGAACTCACATGTATTCTTCTTTCTAATAAAAATATGTATAAACAGAATATTAATAACCTATATATATATAACATATAATGGAGTTAATCAAAATATTGTACCTTTTATATTTTTGTTCTTCAGTTGCCAAAGACTCTTTTGATTGTGCATTCACCGAAGTTGAATTCAATTCTGATGCTATTTTTGCAACTATATTTAGCATGAATTCTAATTACTTTTTAAAAATATTGGAAACATTAACAAAACTTACACTCTTCATAAATTTGTGGAAGATGAAGATGAACAAAATTTACAAACAGGTCTAATGATTCCACCAAATTATTTGCATGAGATACTAATTCGTTATAAACGGTCTGTCAAAGAAACATCAAATAATAAAAAAATGTTCAAAATACAAAATCACAATGTCCAAAGAAAATATCAAAAAGAAAGTAGGTATCAAAAAGAAGTTATCAAAAAGAAGTTATCACCTGACCATATTCTACCAAGACATCTGTTTTCCCTTGGGTGGTAATTCTTTTTATCTGCTTTGCTAGTTCTTTTGCCTCCTTAGACACACGTGCACATAGCAGACGAAAATTATCCAAGGATATAGAATCGGTAAATGAATTCATTAAGACATCATTATGATGAGATAATATAGAACCAATTGTTTTAGTCAAGAGGCTAGAAGCACTCAAAACTTTTACTAACGAGGAATGCTTTGAAGAAGTTTCAGATAATTCAGAATGAAGAGTTGAAATAGAAGAATGCGAAAGACGGGCATAATAATGAGAATGCAGAGGTTGATCAGAACGATCAGTATAATGGCATTCCACATTTTCATGTATTACAGAAAGGGCCTCTTCCTGGATTATTGAAGAGGAAGGACGTGATGATAAATAATCCTCGGCGTCATAATAGCCAACATGATCATCGTCATCATCATTCGATTGAGAATCAGGTGCATTAACCAACAATAAAGTAGGAGCCAATATTAATACAGACATCAAGGCAGACTCTAACGTTACGAACGGACACTATAATTTACGACATGTAATCAACAAACGAGAATAGCCAATCACGTGAGAGAAGAAAGATTAAAAAAATGAAATAAGCATACCTGACATTCACCATTCGGCAATTTATCATAAAATAAGACAGAATTTTCAGCACGCTGTAAATTTCGAAGCCTATCCAAAACTAATTTAACATCTTCGGGTAGTTGAAGATAAAGCAACTCACTCGCATCGCGTAATTCGCTATAAATATCGGTTAAATTCGAACGCGTACCGCAACTATAGACAGCGCAAGTAGAATTTTGAACATTTGAGGAAGAAACCATATGGTTATCATTAGTTAAAGAGTTATGTGAAGATGCGACAGTATTTTGAGAGTTAACGATTTTTGAGGAAGACCGAGAATCATTAATGATAAGATTTCCCAACTTTTTAACGTTTCTCCAAGCCATAATTATTATTATTAAATAATATATAAAAAAAAAAAAGTTCTTTATGGAGAAAAAAAAATAAAGAAATTCAAATTCTCAAAAGGTTTTACAATAAGTAATTTTGAGAAGATTATATTTGAATTCTATCGTGCCGCAGAAAATGTTTAATGAAAAAACGTGGCAATTTTACGATATATTAAAATAGATGAAATGCACTTTTTTGTTTCGAATTCTTTTTTTTTTTAAGTCAAAAATATCGTAAAAAAAACATGATAAAGAATATTGATAAAGAATATCGGAATATATATAAATATAAATAAATAAAAATATATATGTATTATATATATATTATTTATGTATGTAGAATTAATGGGAGTGCAGCAACTAATATATGTATAAAGGAAGAGATAAAGAGAGTGATGGTACGTATGATGGATGAAAAAGAATGGTAGATGGAATGAACAAAAAAATATGAAACTTTAGCGTGATTTTATGTAAAATTTGCATAATTAAAAGAACGAAATCATGAGTTTATTTAAAAAACTGTAAACGAAAAATCAAGATTTTTTTTTTTTCGCGCCTTCAGCTTTACGATGAATATTATATATAAAGATATATATATTACATATGGTATATATAGTATATATGGTATATATAGTATTCGAGAGAAGGTCACTTAATATGAAACACAGTTTAGAGGAAAAGATTCAAGAATATTAATATATCAAGGAGGAGACGAGAAAGAAAGAAAAGAGGAAAAAAAACGGAAAAGGGGAAAAAAAAAAAAGAAGTTGTGGATCAGAAGAGGCGGTAAAGGAGTTTTATAAAGTATTCTAGGAGGTAAATGCAAAAATTACTTGAAGACCCACACACATCAATGTTCAATTGATGAAAAAAAACAAATCACACTAATAAAATGATGATTTGCTATACATATAATAGAATAGGGACCAAAATCCAAAGATTCAGCACGATCAGTGGTCACTAAAAAGAAGTTTATAGAAGCAGCAGAAAGCCCGCATGTGTTTGCGCAAGTGTCAGGACAAATCAAGCAATAAATAAATCCCTATTACCAAGAGCGGAGTCTAAATTTTTGACATAGTCCATTGTTTTCGGCGATCAATTGATCAATTCAAAATTGATTTTTCCGCTTTTCGGTGCACCAACCAATTCATCGTCCTCACCTTATACAAACTTATAAAGCATACAAGAACATCAAATATGGCCATATATGATATTAGAAAAATAATTTGAACTTCCACTTGGATAATTTACTTACCGATAAGGCGAAAGTAATTACTTAATCTCAATTCGCAAGAATGAACTCTTACTAGTTCTCATTCCCCTGTGACGCGTTGTCTCCTTGGCCCTTCATAAAGGAAATTAACGGCTGTTCCTGCATAATAATGGTTGTCTGTTCGAAAAAGGATATATTATATTCTGTTTAATTGATAGAAACCAGCACATTGTATTGGCGATTAATGATAGGAGGTGTTTGATGTCAAGGATATAATGATCAATGATGACATTTTTGCGTACTGGATTTTGCCTTCTTTATATAACTCTCTGACTCATGTTTTTGCAATTCTATCATGTATCTTCATTAATTACTTCAAGGTTAAACCTTATTTACGTATCTGAGACTGCTCATCTCTGCTCATATACAAGTATGTCTCTTACACCATTGTGTTGAATGTACTGTACTTTTGAAAGCATATACCGTAATGGGGTCACGTGATGTGTCAAAAGCCTCTAATTATAATTCATTGCTATTTATGCGACAATTTAAATTCTTGCTGAATTTGAAAAAGAATTTCATATGATGCTACTCCTCAAATTTCTTTATCAAAGTGATCACTAAGTACTTTACCAGATTTAATTTATTTTGTACATGCTGAGGCTTGCGTCGTAAAAAGATTGATATTCCGTTTTTAATTTTTAATTTGGTTCTTGTAAACCAGTTCACTCGGGTACGAATTTTTAAATTATAAAATGTCTATAATGTCAACATTCATTAAAATTAGTCCAATTATTTTTAAAGCATTGCGACTTTAAATGAGATAAATATCATTTATTACCCGACTTTTGGGGCTAAAACGTTACACTAATATAAATATAGATCGATATTTATTTTTTTTAAATAACACTTTAGAAATTATATACTGTAGAGTGAATTAATTTTTTGTTTATTAATTATTTCTCAAAAATATATTTATTGAAGGTTAGCAAAGATTCAATAAATTAACTTATACTTCATTGTAATATTATACTTCTTTTTTGTTAATTATTTCCGAAATCTTATTTATATTACCGATGTAATATTTTATACTATTTAGAAAATAACATAAATAACATTATATATATATAGTATAACAAATCGTTATTTAAGTTTTACAGAATTTTTAAATTATTAATCTTTGTAGTAATAATTTATTTTTTGAGTTATCTAATAAAGTAAGTATATATATATTTATATTATATATATATATATATTTTATAATTAATATATATTTAGAAATCAAACTTATTAAAAACTAGTACACGGCAAAATCAAACAAAAACTTGAAAATCAAGTTTTTGAATCTATCAATTTACAGTATTGGACATTAAATACAAATTTTTATTTTTAGTAAATATAAAGTTTACTTTAGACTTCGTAGTAACTTATCATGAAGTTTAAAGTCAGATTAAAGTAAAAATAAATTCTGTAAGTAAAGCAAATACTGTAAATTACGGAGTACCGTAGGTACACAAAGTGACACGTTTTGTGATTTAGTGTTTTAATGTTCTAGTGTAGTGTTTTAGTGTTTTAGCGTTCTAGTGTTCTAATATGGTAAATCTACATGGTGCATAAGTTACGTTCTTGATGTATATATAAAATAATAATTATAAATGCATCAAAAATGTAGCTTTAAACATATATTCCTAATATGGGGAACGGCTAAAGCCTGGTGCGTTCATATGTTTTTGATTATTTAATTAAAATTAGAGTTAGGGTAAGTTTTAGTTTGGAGTTAGGGTTGGAGTAGTTCTTATAGATAAAATCATTTTTTTGGCATTTTTTATTAATATTTCAAGACAGGTTTATATAAACACTTGTTTCTTGTATTTTTGGCATTTTTTACTTTTTTTCTTTGTTTTTGTCTTGTCAAAGCTAATCTGAATTAATCAAAATTTATATTTTGATTAGCTGTTAGTTATGTAAATGCATCTAGCTTTAGATAATTCTCTAATATAGTAATAAACTTAATTAGTATTTATATTTTAATGTTTTAGTATTTTAATATTTTAAAACACAACTTTTTCCAATGATCATTTGAACCATAATTTCCAAAAAACTTTTTACTAGAAAATAATACTGTACACTAGTGTAAAATCAAAAGGTTCTAATATAAAATATAGAAAATAAGACTGTAAGTTGGTAGCTATTATTTAGAGATAGTTTTATATACTACCTGCTAATAGCTTTAGAGTTTATCACTTACTACAAGCATAGCACTCGTCGTTTAGAAGTAGTTCTCATATGCTACTTGTCAACAAGTTTAGAGTTTATTATTTACTAAAAAGACTTAGTACTGTACAGGCTCTGGTAAAAAGTTAATTTTAATAAAGAGCACCTTGTTCATTTTCGTCAACCAACATTGATAGCAATTTTTCAAGTGTTCCTGCAATAATATGTGTACTAATAATATAACATATGTTAGTAAATTGGTTATTTACGTAAAGTATTAGTTTGTTAAAACTAACCTTCCATCAACTACTTTTGTAACCAAAGTGCCATCATTCTGCGAATCATTAATATCTGATAATTTGAGTGAATTATTTAAGTTTTTGTCGTCATATACTTGATCCGATTCCATATCAATTGATCCATGCTATTAAACAAAATGAACATGTTAATAGACGACCCCTGTTGATTTTTTTCACTCAATAATATTATAACTTTTTCGTAATTGATACGTGCTTACATCATGGATGCGTGATAATATATTGGTCAACTTTAACATACTACTCAGACTGGACTTCTTTTTAATACTCAAACTAGTTGAACTTTTTTTGATATAAATATTAGCAAAATATA